ACTGGCACCAGAACAACTGAAAGCACCACAACTGGCACCACAACTACAGAAAGTACCACAACTGAGACCACAACAACCGAAAGCACCACAACTGGCACCACAACTCCAGAAAGCACCACAACTGGCACCACAACTCCAGAAAGCACCACAACTGAGACCACAACAACAGAAAGCACCACAACTGGCACCACAACTCCAGAAAGTACCACAACTGAGACCACAACAACCGAAAGCACCACAACTGGCACCACAACAACCGAAAGCACCACAACTGGCACCACAACTCCAGAAAGTACCACAACTGAGACCACAACAACCGAAAGCACCACAACTGGCACCACAACTCCAGAAAGCACCACAACTGGCACCACAACAACTGAAAGCACCACAACTGGCACCACAACTCCAGAAAGTACCACAACTGAGACCACAACAACCGAAAGCACCACAACTGGCACCACAACTCCAGAAAGCACCACAACTGGCACCACAACAACTGAAAGCACCACAACTGGCACCACAACTCCAGAAAGTACCACAACTGAGACCACAACAACCGAAAGCACCACAACTGGCACCACAACAACCGAAAGCACCACAACTGGCACCACAACTCCAGAAAGCACCACAACTGAGACCACAACAACAGAAAGCACCACAACTGGCACCACAACTCCAGAAAGTACCACAACTGGCACCACAACAACTGAAAGCACCACAACTGGCACCACAACTCCAGAAAGTACCACAACTGAGACCACAACAACCGAAAGCACCACAACTGGCACCACAACAACCGAAAGCACCACAACTGGCACCACAACTCCAGAAAGCACCACAACTGAGACCACAACAACAGAAAGCACCACAACTGGCACCACAACTCCAGAAAGCACCACAACTGGCACCACAACAACTGAAAGCACCACAACTGGCACCACAACTCCAGAAAGTACCACAACTGAGACCACAACAACCGAAAGCACCACAACTGGCACCACAACAACCGAAAGCACCACAACTGGCACCACAACTCCAGAAAGCACCACAACTGAGACCACAACAACAGAAAGCACCACAACTGGCACCACAACTCCAGAAAGCACCACAACTGAGACCACAACAACTGAAAGCACCACAACTGGCACCACAACAAGTGAAAGCACCACAACTGGCACCACAACTACAGAAAGCACCACAACTGAGACCACAACAACCGAAAGCACCACAACTGGCACCACAACAACCGAAAGCACCACAACTGGCACCACAACTCCAGAAAGCACCACAACTGACACCACAACAACCGAAAGCACCACAACTGGCACCACAACTCCAGAAAGCACCACAACTGGCACCACAACAACCGAAAGCACCACAACTGGCACCACAACTCCAGAAAGCACCACAACTGACACCACAACAACAGAAAGCACCACAACTGGCACCACAACTACAGAAAGCACCACAACTGGCACCACAACAACCGAAAGCACCACAACTGGCACCACAACAACCGAAAGCACCACAACTGGCACCACAACTCCAGAAAGTACCACAACTGAGACCACAACAACCGAAAGCACCACAACTGGCACCACAACTCCAGAAAGCACCACAACTGAGACCACAACAACCGAAAGCACCACAACTGGCATTACAACTCCAGAAAGCACCACAACTGAGACCACAACAACCGAAAGCACCACAACTGGCACCACAACTCCAGAAAGCACCACAACTGAGACCACAACAACTGAAAGCACCACAACTCCAGAAAGCACCACAACTGGCACCACAACAACCGAAAGCACCACAACTGGCACCACAACTCCAGAAAGCACCACAACTGAGACCACAACAACAGAAAGCACCACAACTGGCACCACAACTCCAGAAAGCACCACAACTGAGACCACAACAACTGAAAGCACCACAACTGGCACCACAACAACCGAAAGCACCACAACTGGCACCACAACTCCAGAAAGTACCACAACTGAGACCACAACAACCGAAAGCACCACAACTGGCACCACAACAACCGAAAGCACCACAACTGGCACCACAACTCCAGAAAGCACCACAACTGGCACCACAACAACTGAAAGCACCACAACTGGCACCACAACTCCAGAAAGTACCACAACTGAGACCACAACAACCGAAAGCACCACAACTGGCACCACAACTCCAGAAAGCACCACAACTGAGACCACAACAACCGAAAGCACCACAACTGGCACCACAACAACTGAAAGCACCACAACTGGCACCACAACTCCAGAAAGTACCACAACTGGCACCACAACAACCGAAAGCACCACAACTGGCACCACAACAAGCACCACAACTGGCACCACAACTCCAGAAAGCACCACAACTGGCACCACAACAACCGAAAGCACCACAACTGGCACCACAACTCCAGAAAGCACCACAACTGAGACCACAATAACCGAAAGCACCACAACTGGCACCACAACTCCAGAAAGCACCACAACTGGCACCACAACAACCGAAAGCACCACAACTGGCACCACAACTCCAGAAAGCACCACAACTGGCACCACAACAACTGAAAGCACCACAACTGGCACCACAACTGCAGAAAGCACCACAACTGAGACCACAACAACAGAAAGCACCACAACTGGCACCACAACTCTAGAAAGTACAACTGAGACCACAACAACCGAAAGCACCACAACTGGCACCACAACAACCGAAAGCACCACAACTGGCACCACAACTCCAGAAAGTACCACAACTGAGACCACAACAACCGAAAGCACCACAACTGGCACCACAACTCCAGAAAGCACCACAACTGAGACCAC